AGGGCACAGTGTCACTGGCCCATGTGGGATCCGAACTGGCGGCCCTGCTGCTCCGAGCTTGTGCTCCCAAGCCAACTCTTAACCAAGGAGCCACTGGGTCAGCCCAGGAAATTCTTTTTTTTTTTTCATTCGCTTTACTGGGTAAAACTGTGTGGGTTTCACGTGTGAGAATGCCAGCTATCCTGAGGGAAACTTCGGAGGGAACCAGCTACTAGATGGTTCGATTAGTCTTTCACCCCTATACCCAGGTCGGACGACTGATTTTCACGTCAGGACCGCTATGGACCTCCACCAGAGTTTCCTCTGGCTTCGCCCTGCCCAGGCATAGTTCACCATCTTTTGGGTCCTAACACATGTGCTCGTGCTCCACCTCCCCGGTGCGGCGGGTGAGACGGGCAGGTGGTGCGCCCTTGGTGGACTGGAGAGGCCTTGGGATCCCACCTTGGCCGGCGAGTGGTGCCGGCCTTCACCTTCATTGTGCCACGGCGGCTTTTGCAAGAGCCCCTGAGTCGCGCACGTAGGAAATTCTTAAGTGATACTATTTTATACCATTTAATTGTTGATTCACTTTCTGAGTTCTATCTACGTTGTTTGCTAGTTGCTTATTGTGCAAGAAAACTTTTTTCTGTAACTCTGTCTTTGAATCAAATACAAATACATTTCAGAATTACTTGAAGTAGATGTCCAGAATAAAATACCCTATTTTTTTATGTTTTTAAACTTTTATTTTGAAGCAAGACCTAGATAGCTAAAATTTTATTCTAAAATAGTATTAAATTAACTGAATTTGCTAATCGGTAACTTACTGCGTTGGCGGAAAAGTCATGATGTATTTTTTTTTAAAGTTAATTTTTTTTAAAAAAGATTTTATTGGGGAATTGGGGGAGGGGAACAGACAGGTAGACAAATTGCTGTTTTTGTTCTTCAGTCTAGTTGTGGAGGACGTCGCTTCACTGGCCCATGTTGGTATGATCATTGTGCTCTTCCCAGGTGAGGCAGTCAGTCGCTGGTCATCGGTAGGCCGCTCCCTGCGGCTCCCAGCAGCTCACACCGGCTGCCGGCTGCTCATGCTGGCTGCCAGCCACTCACGTAGCTCCCAGCAGCCCACTGTAGCCCCACTGCAGCCCCGCTGCAGCCTACATCGTCGCTGGCGACTCACAGCAGCCCAGCTCCAGGTCGAGCTGTTGTTCATCATCTTAGGTGTAGAGGGCGAGCGTCACTGGCCCTCAATGTGGGATCTGAACTGCAGCCCTGCTGCTCAGAGCTGGCGCTCCCAAGTGAGCTCTTAACCAGCTGAGCCACTAGGCTGGCCCTCATGATGTATTTTTTTCTGTTTTTCGTTGCAAAAATGTGTCATGGGTTTTCTGACAACTCAATATTTTGCCTTTTCTGAGTTATTGTTGCTGCAGAACTATTTTATTTTATTAAATTTATTGGGGTGAAATTGATTAATAAGATTATATAAGTTTCAAATGGATAATTCTATAATATATCATCTGTATACTGCATTGTGTGTTCACCACCAAAATCCAATCTCCTTCCGTAACTGTATATTTCACCCTCTTGACCCTCTTCTACCTCCCCACCCCCCCTTTTCCTTCTGGTAACCACATTACTGCTGTCTGTGTCTATGAGTTTCTGTTTGTTTGTCTTGTTTGTTCGTTTGTTGTTTTCTGTTTTATATCCCACATATGAGTGAAATCATATGGTTCTTGACCTTTTCTGTCTGTCTTATTTTGCTTAGCATTATATCCTCAAGATTCATCCATGTTATTGCAAATGGCAGTATTTCATCTTTTCTTATGGCTGAGTAGTGTTCTGTTGTATGTATGTACCACATGTTCTTTATCCAGTTATTCATCGAAGGACAGTTAGGTTGTTTCCATGTCTTGGCTACCATGAATAATGCTGCAATGAACATAGGGGTACATATATCTTTATGATAAATGTTTTCAAAAATTTCAGGTAGATACCCAGTAGTAGGATTACTGGATCATAAAGTAGTTCTATTCTTAATTTTTTGAGGAAATTCCATACTGTTTTCCATAGTGGCTGGACCAATTTACATTCACTAGCAGTGTATGAGGGTTCCCTTTTATCCACAATCTCTTGTCCTGTTGATAATAGCCATTCTAACAGGTGTGAGGTGGTATCTCACTGTGGTTTTGATTTGCATTTCTCTAATAGCTAGTGAAGCTGAGCCCCTTTTCATATGTGTTGGCCGATTGTATGTCTTCTTGGGAGAAATGTCTGTTCATGTCCTCTATCCATTTTTTAATTGGATTGTTTTTTTTTGTTGTTGTTGATTTGTTTGAGTTCTTTATATATTTTAGATATTAGACCCTTATTGGATGTGTTGTTTGCAAATATCTTCTCCCATTTGGTTGGTTGCCTCTTTGTCTAGAGACAAAGTTGGACATTTTATAATGATAAAGGGGACAGTATATCAAGAAGACATAACACTTGTCAATATATATACAATCAACCTAGGAGCACCAAAATATATAAAGGAATTACTAATAGAACAAAAGGGAGAAACTTTATTTTTTTTTACTGTTACAAAAGTGCAACTATATTAGGGAACCTAAATATCCGGTTGACAGCCATGGATAGATTATCCACATTGCCAAAAGTGCAATTATATTGGGAGACTTAAATATCCCATTGACAGCTATGGATAGATCATCCACACAGAAAATCAATATGGAAATATTAACTTTAAATGACACACTAGACCAAATAGACATAATCAATGTTTACAGAACCTTTCCTCCCAGAACACCAGATTATACATTTTTCTCTAGTGTACATGGAACATTCTCAACAACAGGCCATATGCAGGGACATAAAAGTAGCCTTATCAAATTTAAGAAGACTGAATGATACCAATCATAGTCTTTAACCACAATACTTTGAAATTGGAAATGAACTGCAAAAAGAAAGAGGGAGAAAGCACAAATAGATAGAGATTAAACAATATGCTACTAAACAATGACTCAGTGAAAGAAGAAATAAAAGAAGAGATCAAAAGATACATAAAGAATGAGAATAACAATACGACATATCAGAATTTTTGGATACAGCAAAATTGGTACGAAGAGGGAAGTTACATCGTTACAGACCTATTTCAAGAAAGAAGAAAAAGCTTAAATAAACAACCTAACATTTCATCTTAATGAACTAGAAAAAGAAGAACAAATGAGGCCCAAACTCAGTAGAAAGAAGGAAATAATATAAGGTAGAGCAGAATTAAACAGAATAGAAAAAAACAGGCCAATAGAAAAAGTTAATGCAACAAAGAGCTGGTTCTTTGAAAAGATTAATAAAATTGATAAACCTGTGGCTAGACTCACTAGGGAAAAAAGAGAAAAGACTCAAAATCAGAAATGAGAGAAGTTACGATGGACACCATAGAAATACAAAGGACTGTACATGAATACTATGAGGCGCGGCTGATTGGCTCAGTTGGTTAGAGCTGGTGCTCTTTTTTTTTTTTTAAAGATTTTTATTGGGTAATTGGGGGGTTGGGAACAGTACTGGGAAATTAGGGGAAGGGGAACAGACAAGTTGCTGTCGTTTTGTTCTTCAATCTAGTTGTGGAGGACGCTGCTTCACTGGCCCAAGTTGGCACCATCATTGCGCTCCTCCCTGGCGAGGCAGATCAGTCACCGGCTTCTGGACGGCCGCTCACTGCAGCTGCTGGCCGCTCACGCTGGCTGCTGGCTACACACGGTAGCCCATGGCAACCCACTGCCACAGGGACTGCAGCCCACGCCGTCGCCAGCGACTCACGGCAGCCCAGCTCCAGGTTGAGCTGTTGTTCAGCATCTTAGCTGTAGAGGGCAGTGTCACTGGCCCTCATATGTGGGATCCGAACCGGGGCCCTCTGGCATCCCAAGCGAGTTCTTAACCATCGCGCCACTCGGCCGGCCCAGAGCTGGTGCTCTTAACAACAAGGTTGCTGGTTTGATTTCCACATGGGATATTGGGCTGCACCCCCCACAACTAGATTGAAGGACAACAACTTGACTTGCAGCTGATGTGTCCTTGAAAAAACATACTGTTACCCAATAAAAATTAAAAAAAATATATTATGAAATACTATATGCCACCAAATTCAATAACCTAGGAGAAATGGACAAGTTCTTAGAAATATATAATCTTCCTAGATTTAATCACAAAGAACTGGAAAATCTAAATAGACTGATAAACAGTAAGGAAATTGAATCAGTCATCCAAAACCTTCCCAAAAGCAAAAGTCCAGGACCAGATGGCTTCACTAGTGAATTCTACCAAACATTCAAAGAAGATTTAATAGCTCTCCTCCTCAAACTCTTGCAAAAAATTGAAGAAATGGCAGTACTTCCTGACTTATTTTATTAGGCCAAGATTATTCTGATACCAAAACCTTGCAAGGATAACTCAAAAAAGAAAATTACAGACCAATATCTCTGATGAATACAGATGTAAAAATCCTAAACAGAAATTTTTTGCAGTTTATGTATCATTGTTCTATACCTAGGCTCAGATTCCATTTTCTCATAAAGACTCACTGATCATTATTTTGATTTAAATAATATTTAGCAAACATCTTTTGTAGACTCAACATTTTCTTTGCTTACTTAATACCAAGAAACACTCTTAGAAAGAGCTGACTGACTTGCTGACCAAAAACTGAGAGTAATTTTTCCCCCATCAGATTTGCCATTTATGAAATCTGAAGACTTCCGGTAGGACATTACTTTCTGGATTTTGACTTTCAAAGATGGATTTTAGTGAAAGAGGATTTAGGAGGGATTTAGTGATTAACATGAACATGTAAGGATTTTGGACAGTCTAAGTTGCTCCTATGGTCTCCTCTAGGTTTCTAATTCCACTGAATTGAGCAGATCTTGTTCAGGCACCTATGAATGTATGCATATGATGAGTGAGCCTGTTGGTTTGAAATGTCTCATGATGTTTCAGAATTAAAGATTAACAGCTCATAATATTATTTTCAGGAGCTGGTGATGATACACGAACTTGGGGGCCACCTTTTGTGGGGACAGAAAGTACTTATTTTCTCAGTGTAAACCGAAATAAAAAAGTAAGAATATCATTCCTTTTTTTTCTTTTGGTTTCTTCGTGTAATTCTCTTGTAATAACAAAACTTTTGATATCATCCTGGCTTGTTTGTTTTCACCCTTCTTTGTAGATGTAACTAGTATTTCATATAAGATGAAATTTTATTCATTAACCAATTACCAAATAAAAATAGAGCTTTTTATTAATCTTCCTTCTCTATTAACTTAAAACATTTCATGAGCATTTATAATGGTTTTATAATGGAAATAGTTTTACTAAATTTGTTAAATGGTTTTTTACATTTTTCTTTATTGTGGAGATTGGTAATTGCCTAATATTTGGTATTATTATTTGAATAATTTTTACTATAATCCTTGCTACAGTGCAACATATCTAAATTGCAAGTAAAATCAGTAAAGATGATTTAAATGTTTCTTCAGGAGGAAAATACATTTTCTTTTAGAGGAGAATCTATGATATGAATGGCTCCCTTGTTGAACTGTCAGTAATAAGAAAAAACTTTATGATACCATTTTAATATATATATTTTAATTTTTAGAGTATAGCTGTTAATATCAAGGATCCAAAAGGGGTAAAAATCATCAAAGAGGTACAGTATGCTTGATGGAGGGCCTGTTACCACCTGGGTTGTAATTAGGGTTTTGAACATCACAGTAAAAGTGTTTTAAAACTTTATTTCATTGACAATCTATAATTTTGCTGTAAATGCCATTGTAGAATTTAACTTTAGAGTAAGTATAATTTTCTTTATAATTTCTTGTATATTGTGTAGCATGTTTCTCCACACTGAGGGTATTCAGTTGTACTAACTACCATTGACTGAGTGCCTACACTGTATCAGATTTTAGGCTTGGGTGTGCACTTTGGTTAGAGATTATCTCCTCAAATCTTCAGAATCTGACTTGTAAATGAGGTATTAAGAATCCCCATTTTCACAGCAGGGAAATGAGTCTTATGGGGCTTAAGTTATGCTCTAAAAATCACATAGCTGGTAAAGGGAAGAACTGGAATTTGGACCCTGGGTAATACATCTTGTGAGAGCCCGAAGCTTTTTTTTAACATTCAGATGGCCAGTATATCCAGAGCTGATCTATCATCTTTCCTTCAGGGGCAGGATTACACAATGGTTTGGTGCATACCCTAGCTTCCTCTGCTGAGATTCAAATCTCAGTAAATTCTCTATTTACTAGCTATGTGACTTCAGGCAGGTTACTTAAATTCTTTATGACTCAAGTTTCTTATCAGTAAAATGAGGATAATAATAATAATAATAGTACCTCCTTCTTACAGTTGTTGTTAAAATTGAGTTAATATGTGTAATATGTGTAGGAGAGTGCCTTCCATAATCAGCACTCTTTAAGTATTCATTATTGTTATTGTTTCTGATGCACATGACGTTGGATTCATCATGCAAGATAAAACTTATTTGCCATCCTTGTTAAAGTTTAAAATCTAATCTAATTTATATATGTCTATTTGAATAGAGAACCAAATCCCAAAATTTGTTTTAGATCAAATTATTAACTTTGATATCATTGCTCTGCTGCTACTTTTCTTTGTTTGGCCGATTGAAAGATAATTTATTTAAGATGAGAATCAGTGACCATCCACTTTGGTTCTGTTGGATCAATCCAGCAAATTTAGAATTTTTGTTTACTAGATATGTTTTGAACCCAAAGCTTGACAATTGTCCTGATCTTACTGCCTTTTTTTTCCTATTTCTTTTCTATAGCATAATTTAGGTTTTTATTTCCTTTTTCATTTGAAACTTAGCTTGATTTTTCTAAATTGTTCTTCATTTTATTGTAGCCCTACTCTGTTTTTCTACAGTGGATATTCTCACCTCCAGCCAACTCCCACTGTCTTCATTCTCAGGTCCTTCTTTTTATCTTCTCAGTAGATGTGTTGTTATTATTATTATTATTATTATTATTATTATTAGTAGTAGTAGTAGTAGTATTTTATTTGAGAGATTGTTCTTTCCTTAATTCTTCTCTTTCTGTTCTGTGTTTCTCAGTTTCATCTTCAATGTTCACAGTTTCTACTTCTTTGCTTTCTTTTCAGGACATTCTAACCATTTATCCTTAATAGTCAAGGTTTCAGATTTGACTGAACAAATACTTTACAATTTCAGTAGAGCTTCTTGATGGGGCAGTGTTAGATGGAATTCATAACTCTTATTACTAAGATATCAGTGTACATTTGAATATGTTAGGCCTACAGGTATAATTCTGACCAAAATAAATGAATTGCTGGGACTTCCTTTTCACTCTCGGATCTTGCCAGTGTCCTCCACCAGACTATATCAATTTTAAATCAGATTTCATTGTGGGCTTGATTTCTTTTCATGTCTGATTGATAACAATAAAATACATTTCAACTCATATTAAACTTAGATTGCCTGGAGACGTCATTATTCATGTCTATGATTTTTAGTTAGTTACATCATTCCTAAGTTATATATCTTACTGCCTAGAGGAAAAATTATTTTTGCCTTGTTATTTTATTCTTTATGGCATGGATTTCTTTTTTGGCCTTAAGAGTAGCAAAACAACCTCTGCATTCAGATCTTGGTGGCTATGATTGCTAATAAAAGGAGTCTAGTTTATAGAAATGGTTTTAAAGTGTTATAGAAAGCAATCAACTGGATGCAAGAGAGCTCCAAAAAATATGACTCCTTTGTCAACTAGGTTAACCAAAAATATGTTGTCTGAAAAATAAAACTCAGGTTAGAAAATCTGTGTGGAGCCTGGTATTTTCATGACAATATGATTTGATAACTTTGTAGCATGTTTTCTGTATTTCAAATAATTCTCCATGTTAATTAGTTGACACACAATATCCATACTGTGTGCATTTATAATGGTCCACAGAGCAATGTCACAAGTTTTACTTTCCTCCAACATTTTATTATTAAAAATTCAAACATAAAAAAGTTGAAAGAATAGTATAATAATCAGCTCTCATTTACCCTATGCCTAGATGCAACAATTTTAACATTTCCCTATATTTGCTTACTTACATATGTATATGTTTGTGTTTATGTGTATATTTTGAACTATTTGAAAGTAAGTGGGAAATGTTATGAAACTTTGCCCTTAAATCCTTCAGCATACATCTCCTATAAATGACATTCTTTTATGTAACATTTAAAAATTACTTTATGATTTTTTTTACTCATAAATGTTAAATTATTATCATCTCTTTCCCCTCTATTTCTGATCTTGCTTATCTGTTCTGTTCTTAAATTATATTCTGAAAGGAACTCAGAATCAGGTACTCTATATTTCAAATTGATTTCAGTTCTTACTTACTCTGTCACTGGAAGGAAGATTTTTTTTTTATTTGGGGAAGGGGAGCAGTGTTGGGGAATTGGGGAAGGGAAACAGCCAAGTTGTCCTTCAGTCTTAGCTGTGGAGAGCACAGCTAGCTCAGCTCTAAGTCCAGTTGCCATCCGCCAGCCGGCAGCTTGCGGCAGCTCAGCTCTAGGTGTCGTGTTCAATCTTAGTTGCGGGTGGATTTTACCCACCATCCCATGCAGGAGTCGAACCTTGTTAATAAGAGTGCATGCTCTAACTACTGAGCAATCTAGCTGCCCGTAGACAACTCAGGGGAGCTCAGCTCAAGGTGCTATGTTCAATCTTAGTTGCGGGTGGGCATAGCCCCCCATCCCATGTGGGAGTTGAACCTGCAACCTTGCTGTTAGGAGCACATGCTCTCATCAGCTGAGCCATCCTGCCACCTGTTGGCAGCTCAGTGGCAGCTCAGCTTGGGCTCAGCATCACTGGCCCATGTGGGAATCGAACCAGTGACCCTGTTGCTCAGAGCTTGCACTCTTAACCAACTGAGCCACTCGGCCAGTCTGGAAGATTTATTTATTTTTTGCTCCCTTTTAGAAAGAAAAAGATGGTGGGTTCTCTGACTCATACAAAATTGTGCTTGTTTTTATTCTGGGCAAGATTCTAGAATAGATTATTAGGTAATTTGTGAGCACCTAGGTGAAGAAGAGGTGATCACCAGTAACACTGGAAACCAGTATTTTTCCCCTCAATTTATTTCCTAGTATATTATTGTGTCAGGGAAATGCAGTAAACATTTGGTCTCCGCTGAAGCAGTTGACTTGTATATAACTTGGAGATAGTGTGGAGATAAGTATAAGTCAGAGAAAGTTTTCCAGTGGCTCTGATTTTAGCACTGTCTGTTTAGAATTTTTATGAATGACTTTACTAAAGCTATAGGGGACATATAAGTACATGATCTTGAATGGGTGAATGTGCTGAAACAGAGAGAGAGAGAGAGAATATGTTGGAAGACAAACTCACTAAGAATCAGCATCTAGTAAGTGGCTTGTTTTTATTTATTCAAAATAAATATTTATAAATTGGAGAAAAGAATAATTTCTGCCCACTACACTTTTCCAGGAATATTTTATCAATAAATATCAGTGCATACATATTCAGTTCTTGGGTATCATAAAAAACTACTGGGCATCTTTATCAGTAGAAATCTTTAGCTCCTAAACTCAACTTTTCCATATGTTTTTAGTAATATTGTAGAGTCAGACTATGTGGTACTCTGAGCACATTTTTAATTAATTGTTTTTTTCTTGTTGCACAAGCAATGCCTGTTCATGGGCAAAAAGATTAATATTTTAGTGTATCATGTCAATCTCTTTATGCCCTTGTATACCATTTTTTCTCCCCAAACATGAGATAATACCATGTATATTGTTTTTTAATATGCTTTTTTTTTGGTTAATTGAGATATTTAGAATAACATAAGTTATTCATTATATTTATATTTTTGTCTTATTGAAACAGTGAATTTATGGTCCATCTGAATACTTTATGTGGATTGAGCGCTCAATTTATTTATGTTTCCATCTAAAGTTTATGTTAATTCAGCCTTTTCCTTTTAGAGCAAAGGTTGGCAAACTGTGTAGGCCAAATCAGGTTAATTTTTTTATGGCTCATGGACTGAGTGGATTTTACATTTTTAAAGATTGTTGAAGAAAAATAAAGAAGAATGTGTGACAGGTTATCTATGTGTCCTGCAAAGGTTAAAATATGTACTATTTGACCTTTTATGGAAAACATTTGCCCACCCGTGATCTAGAGTCCAATTCTGTTGCATTAGTTGCATGCTTGTGAATGAATCTAAATCTATGTCAATATGGCTATTAAACATTTTATTAAATAGTTATTAGGTACTTGGATATGTTCAAGAATTACTGTAATGAATTTCTCTGGGTGACCTAGAATAATTTCTGTTTTAAAAGGACTTTAAAAGACATGTAGTCACAATTGAAATTTTGAAAAGAATTTTAAGGTTAAGGTTTTCAATGGTTCATTGTCCTCTAATTCCTATAGCAGTTATCTGGGAATCAAAATCTATATCTTGTTTCAGACAGTTACTGATTCACTAGGTTATAGTTTAATAGTTTTTCAAAAATGGTTCATTAGATAAATTTAAAACTTTTTGGAAAGAAAGCATCTGAAAAGTATGAAAGCATTTCAGAATTACATTTACATGTATTAAGTGCCTATATGTGCATGTTGTAATGAGTAATATCACTCAATAAGGATGGAGAGTAGTAAAGCCATTGTATTTTGTTTTTTGTAAAGAGTTTAAAAGATATTTTTCATATGTTTTATATACTTATATTCTAATTTTTCTACCTAAACTTCTGAAAATATATTTGGACCATGTAACCTAGATATTTCTTGCATTTAACATAAGCAGAATCCATTTACTACAATGGTATTTACTGAAAATTTTAATAGCTGTGGTTCTATTGTCAGTAATACCTCAAGTAGTTGACCAGAGCCTTCATGTTGATCTAATTCTACTTTGTAATTTTACTTTTCCTGTGTTTGCTGAAATTAGAATTCTATAATGTGGGGATTTGTTCAAAGTTTGGAGGCCCTTTGAGGAATCTGACTTACCTTTACCTCTTCCTTCAGCTTGCAGCTGTTTGTGATGTATTTGTGGAGAACTATGTCCCGGGGAAACTGTCTGCCCTGGGCTTGGGGTACACAGACATAGACAGGATCGCTCCGCACGTCGTCTACTGCTCCATCACAGGTACGCAGCTCCGCTCGTCGGGGAGTGGGTTTCCCCGTTTCTGTTTTTCTCTGTGTCTATAAGAAACCTCTTATTAGTGCTGGTTTTCTTGAAGCTGTTTTGCCCTCCCTCCCCTCCCAAGCCATTGTAGGTTGCTGAAAATTAACCATTAAAGAACATTAACTTAAATGAATATTTTTCATATATTTATTGGTAAATTATATTTCTGTGAATTGTCGGCCTATAATTTTTGCCAGCTGTTTAAATTGCTATTTTGTAAACATTTCCAAAATGCTGTTATTAACTCATATATAGAATTACAGTTGAAATGTTAGTGATCTTTAAGATAACATAGGAACTCAGTGTATCCCTTCAATATATTCAACAGTGCTAATCCACGTGAAGGAAAAGAGTGCTATAGCGGCTTCCAGATTGTTCAGCCCTTGTTGTGAACCTCATATATGTGTGCTTGTGTATGTGTTTAGGCCAAAGGGAAAAAACAGTCATCATATTCATTAGTTTTACATGTTTTATAAGCGCATAACTATTAGTTGGGGATGCGATATAGTAAAGTGGCTCTGAAGATTGAAAGTTACCTTAATAGTTTTTGTCAGAAAAATTGATAATATTTTCAGTCTTAATTAATTAATTAACTAATTAATTCACCAAATACTTACTGCAGGCCTGTGATCTGCTGGGCATTGTTCTAAGGTTCTGGGATATAGCAGTGAGCAAAGCATATCCATGCTCTCAAGGAAATTTACATTCTAGAGTAGAGAGACAGGTACTCAATCAATCAATAAATAAATACACTTTTTTTGTTTTTGAACTTGAATTTGATAGTTTCAAAGACTGAAGAGAGAAATAAAGCAGGGCAAGGGGGGGTGGGGTCAAGAGGATCTATTTTATCCTGGGAGTTGAGAAAAGTCTTTTTTTTTTTTTTTTAGATTTTTATTGGGGAATTGCGGGGAGGGGAACAGCGCTGGGGAATTGGGGGAAGGGGAACAGACAAGTTGCTGTCGTTTTGTTCTTCAATCTAGTTGTGGAGGTCGTTGCTTCACTGGCCCAAGCCGGCACCATCATTGTGCTCTTCTCTGGCGAGGCAGATCAGTCGCCGGCTTCTGGACGGCCGCTCACTGCGGCTGCTGGCCGCTCACGCTGGCTGCTGGCTACACGCGGTAGCCCATGGCAACCCACTGCCACAGGGACTGCAGCCTACGCCGCCGCCGGTGACTCATGGCAGCCCAGCTCCAGGTTGAGCTGCTGTTCAGCATCTTAGCTGTGGAGGGCAGTGTCACTGGCCCTCCTATGTGGGATCCGAACCGGGGCCCTCTGGCATCCCAAGCGAGTTCTTAACCATCGCGCCACTCGGCTGGCCCAGAAAAGTCTTCATTGATAAGGTGGCATCTGAGCAGAGACCTGAATGAAGTAAAGGAGTGAGTCATATAGATATTGGTAGAGGGTTTCTGGTGGGGGAGCAGCAAGTGCAAAGGACCTGAGGCAGGAATGTGTGGGGCATGTGTGAAAACAAGCAGGGATGGCTGAAGCAGCCTTGGTGAGGGGCAACATAATGGGAGAAAGTCAGGCAATGTTGGTTAGTAAGATCATAAAGGGCCTTCTAAGGAATTTGGCTTTTACTCTCAGTAAGATTGGAAGCTACCGGAGGATTTTGAGCAGAGGAGTGATGTGATCTGACATATTTTTTAAAGGATCACTCTAGCTACTGTGTTGAGAACAGACTGTGGAGGGCAAGGCTGGAAATGGAAGAACAATTATGAAGCTATTGAAATATTCCCGGTGAGCAGTGATGGTGGCTTGAACTAAGGTGGTAGTGGTAGAAGTAGTTGAAGGGTGATAGGATTCTGAATGTTTCTAAGGTAATGGGATAGGATTTGCAGATAGATTAGTTGTGAGAGCAGAGAAAGAGTACACATGACTTTAAGGTTTTGACCTGAACAATTAGAAGAATGGAATTTCTATTTACTGAGTTGAGCAAGACTGTAGAAGTTTTGGTAGGGAAAATGTTAAAAGTTTGCTTTTGAAAATTTGGAAGTCCCTTAAGAAGTGTGACGCACCTTGTGATGCCTGTTAGATATGCAGGTGGAGATGTAAAGTAAGGTATTGGGCTTGAGAGTTGAGGGGAGATGTAAAGTTTGATAGCTATGAACAACTAGACGGTATTTGAAGCCTGGCTGAGATCATTAGAGACTGAGTGTAGGCGAGTTCAAGGGACTCAGCCTGCTACCCTCCAATGACTAGATGTTTGGGAGCCTACGAGAACACAGTGAAGAAGACTGAGAAGGAATTGTCAGTGAGGTGGGAGGAGAACCTCCTGGAAGCCAAGTGAAGAAAGTGTCTATTTTTACACACTGTTGAAGCTTTAAAATGTAGACGTTTAAGCAGAAGGGCCTACAGCATAAAGCATGTATAGGCTGGAATGACCTGCAGCTCCTGCACTCTCCATGCTACCTCTCACTTCTGAGCCTTTGCACATCACGTCCTGTTATTTGGAACCCTATTCTTTTTGTCCTTTAGCTCTCACCGTGGATGTCTTTCTGTGCAGCCTTTCTTGGTCCTTGAAGATTGGGTGAGGTGCTCTCTGTCACATTTTATATTTGCCTCTTTACTTGCCTGTCTCCCCCACTACCCTGCAGGCTCTTGTTTCTTCTCAGTTCCACACACAGTGCAGAGCACATGGTAGGGACTCAGCACGAGTTTCTTGAATCAATGAATAAAGAAGCAGAATTTGATGAAAGAGTTTTTAATAGTTGCCATTTTTTTTCTGCAGTTCACTTTTTGGAGATAATGCTGAGCGGTAAATATTATGTTCACATTTTCCAAATAAACTTTCAGAGGATAGCCTGGGGTTATTGCATAGTGGGCCTAATCTGTTATTTCTTGTACAGTTCATCTGTAGCTCTATACAATGATCATATGATTACTGTAAGGTACCAAAAGAGCCTGAACCATGATGTAAATATTCAGTTATTGTCATTATGCCTTAGGTGTTTTTCTTAGGCAGGAAGCGGAACTAGTACATTTAAATAGGTTTTAAAAAGGAACTAAGTAAAAATTTTACTCCTTATATTTCAATAAATTTATCTTAAAATCCATGGATAGCTATAAATCTTGTTATACTGTAAAAGCCACAAAAACATGTTATCTTAAAATATTTATTACTCATAAAGTAATAACAATCAAAATACTGTTTCTGTGCATTCAGGTTGACAGATTTTAATACTTTGACTATGACATACTATTTTAGTATAAGTGGTGCTTTTCACAATGTAATTATCTGTGTGGTGGTATTTTCAAGCTGGAATTGCAAAGTTTCACTCCTTGTTGTTATTTTAGATGATGAAGAGCCCAGTGATCATTAACTTCTCTACTGAATGAGTACGAGAGACAGGCTCTGTACACAGCAGATGACTCTGGCACTAGATCTGACTCTTTCTATATGTACTGTTTGTTAGATCTGTAATCACACTTTCATTGTTGTATATGTATCAATATGTGAGACAGGGAGTTTTCCTTAACATTTTGTAGTCCAATGGAAATTTTGAGGTTTAAAATATTAAAATAGGTAAAATATTAACTTCTGAATTGTCCTCTTACCCTAAAAATACTGCATATATGACAAATGCAAAATCTTATGTGACAATAAGTAGTTCTCATTTCCATGACAGTGGGTCAGCTGGGATTCAGCTGATATAAACTGATCAGGTTTGGCCCCAAGTTATAGGTTGGGGCCTGGTCTGCTCTGCATGTCTCTTATACCTCTCGGATCAGTGGCTGCTCAGTGCCCATTCTCCTCCTAGTGAAAGGCAGGAGCACAAGAGAACAAGCCCATTCTCACAAACAAGTTTAAAGCCTCTGACTACATCACTTCTGCTAATGTAGGAAAGTCACATGACCAAGCCCAATGCCACTGGGTGATGAAATATATTGTCTAGTGGCAGGAACTACAAAGTCAATGGCAAAGGACATAGATTCTGAGAAGAGCGAAGATTGGAAATGACAATGCATTTTATCACATCACCAAGCCAAATAAAGTGTTAATCTACTTGAGAAGTCTCACACTTTCCGAAGTTCTACATCTATACCTAACTATGGTTAGAGTCCAAAGGTCGTCTGGGCCATGGCTTGTGATTGGAGAATCTCTCTTTTCTTTCAGTTCTCAAATCCTGTATTAACATTTTAGCGTGGCAAAGAGCCTAGGAAATAGATTATATAATTCAGAAGTTCTCAGCTAAGGGGAAAATGGGGGTATCATGTGTTTTTAAGTGATAGGGCTGGGAGAATAAGGGGGTGATGGGGCGAGGCATGTGTAGTCTGAAAAAACAACTGTTGTAATTCTATAATCTCCTGCATCCACACCTAACCATCATTAGAAAAACACCCATATCATACTGTCTCCTTTCTTTCTTGATCAGGAAAGAGGTCTAGAATAACTACAGTACCTAAAGTTGCACAGCTGTGTAATAGCAGACGGGTTTCAAATTTAGGCTTCTTGACTTTATATTAATTACCTTATTTCCCCATATATAAGACGCACCCTTTTTCGAAAAATTTGTGGTCTAAAAACTGGGTGCGTCTCATACAGTAGTTGTAGATTTTTTTTACTTGCATTTCCCGCTTTTTCATGCTTGTTGTCTTTGCGCTCAGTGTTCTGCACTTGTTACCGGTATATTACGGTAGGTTACATTTTGCCACGTTCTGCCCAGAAATGGCTCAGAAAAGATTGTCGTACAGTGCTGAATTCTAGTTAAAACTGATCCAGTTTGCAAAAGTGAATGGAAATTGTGCTGCTGAACGTAAGTTTAGTCCTCCTCCAACTGAGAAAACAATCCAAGACTGGCTACGGGAAGAAGAAATCCTACTGAAAACGCCACGGCAGAAGAAGGCCATGAGAGGCAAGTCAGCAAAATGGCCAGATTTAGAGAGGGAATTGAAGATATGGATGGAAGAGCAAAGGGCAATTGGGATTCCTGTGTCCACCAAGATGGTTCAGCATGAGGCAA